TCGCTTAAAACTTGACCAAGACAATCCTCAAAAGGCTGAACCAACGATGACGACGGTGACGACGACCAGCCGTCTAGGTGGTGCTGGTGCTAGTGCTGGGGTCTCTTGTGGTGTTGTTGGTGCTGATGCTGGTGGCGGAGCCGGGGCTTTTGCCCACTCTGAAATCAATCGATTCGACATTATTATTAATTTTTCATAACTTCTGCAGCGGCTAGCGCGCTGGCGGCCCTCTGTGTGCAATATGGCGCCCTAAAACCCCAGCTCCATGACCATGTGAAACTAATCTATTTGTGCGGCAGAAAAAAGGGCCGCCTAGGCAGACTCCAACTAAGCCCGGGACGGGTTCATCCGCATCCTCAACCTCATCCTCGAGCCGCGGCTGGTAGGTAGTCAGCGGGCAGACCGGTAAGCGGAGTCGAAGCGTGTTATCTGCTATCGCTGCGCTTTGATCTTTTACCGCTTCTGCTTTGCATAATAAATTCGCTATCGATGAAAACTAACTTGCAACCCGAGATGCGGAGTCCCTCGCTCTCGGGTCTCGGCTCTGGGGTCTCGCGTCTCAGCTCTGGAGTCTCTGTCTCGTCTGGGCAGGGATTTCCCGGCAATTTGTTTGCCTTTTGGCCATCGGCTGTTTAATTCGATTGCCAGCGCGATTTCGGCTTCGCCTTAACCATTTTATTACAATAGCATAATTTTTTACTATGCTTAATGAGTTCTGCTTTGATTAGTTTTTCATATTGTTGTTGTCGGAGATCTCGCTTCCCTCCACTCTGCTCCTTCTTTGACGATCTTTGCCCGGCGGCCAAATTGTTGTTTGTTGGGTGTCTCAGTCTCAGTCCCAGTTCCAGCCGGTGTATTGGCTTTTGTGGTAAGGCGATGAGAGGGAAAACGACTCAAGCTGTTCGCAGATTTCATGTTGTTAGCATTACTTATTGAAATGTTTTAATTTAGCAATTGAGTTTTATATAGCAAGTCGCCTTGTGGCCATTTTATAGGCTTATTGATCTACTAATTAGAATTTAGAGAGACTGCGAAGAATATACCGTCTGATGATTCTATTAAGAAGAGAAAATTGGCAATGAATAGCATTTGAGATAGATATTAAGCACGTTGTTTCGAAAATGCAATTAAAATACATATATGCAAATTATTAATTCATTTGTTGGAATAGTTAAAATAATTATTATTAGATTTGGTATTTAGTTATTCGGTAACCATTTTTCTATCTGTACCTATTTCTTGTTTTTAAAGGAAAGCTAAAAATACGTTAAAAGTATGCCAAAAATATAATTAATTATTTATGTTAGTTCTAGTGTTTTATAGATTTAAGCGTTTTAAATTTTCAAATTTGAAAGTACCCGCCATAAGCTGCTTTCAAGCCCCCAAAGCAGTACATACTATAAGCTTTTGGCTAAAAGCTTTGCACTGCTTATCAAGATAGCAGTGGAAAAATGCTTTCATTCACACTGGACTGCTTGTGTTAGGACTGCTTGCACATGGCCTGCTTGTGCCCGCGTAAATTGAAATTTTAGCTTGTATCGGTTTTTGGCTGTGCTTGGACTGTAACTTAATAAGAATATTGAGACTACTAAAAATCATAGAATGGATGATATCATTTGGAAGGAGCAAAACGATTGAATGATAAAGATTGCAGTATGCGAATACCAATAATATTTTGAAATCTGTTCAATATACATAATGCAATATTACTTAATCTTATTTCTAAGAATCATTAATTTTTACAGCTTGAGAGGGTAATCCTTGTTCGATCACTATACTTCAGTAAGATCTATCTTTTGTTGCTGCTGAGATTAAGTATTTATAGCGGGGTCTGACGTAGGTCTAATAAATACATACATATATGTATTCTCAGTGTGAAATGTTGACATGTTTCGTTTAAAAACACTGCCTAACAAAGTTGGGAAATTTAATAGAATATGTACATAGATAAATATGTATGTTTTGGAAGAAATTATAATATTCAAGGTTACTAGTAATTACATGCTAATGTACATTTTATTTCCTCGAAGCTCAGATTTGTTGCCAAGTGTTTTAATGGAGGTGAGTTCTTTTTGTTTTGTTTTTACCATACGCTATCAATCTGTTCGTATCAGTATGTTTTATGAAAGAGTATATAGATGTACATACACATGTGGATGTGTAGATGTAGAGGCTGCTGGGGGCCATCGGCTCATGCCCACACGCAACGCGTATCTGTATTTTGCTCCCCATAGAACGGCGCATGGGTTTGTTTTTACTTCTTTTTTTTTTCGGTTTCCCTAAGGCATGCACGCGTTTGTATAGTATGAGAGAACGCTATGTGCGAAACAAATATGCGCTATATGCAAATTTGACTTGGCGAAGTATTTTCGGCAAGTTTCTGTGTTTATTTTCTGAAGAGGCCTTGACATTGGGCATGTGCAGGGACAAAAACAACAAGAGTTGACTCAAAAAAGAAAAGAACAAATAATTAAAAATAAAATACAAAGGGGTGTGTGGCGGGGGGTATAGCAAAGGCAACAAAAATCTGACACATGCCGGGAAAAAACCGGCACAATCCGTGTGTATCGCGAGTACCGAGCAGTCGGCACATGTCATTGTCATTGTTATTGTTACACACACACTCACTCGCAAAAGCATTCGCACATGCGGCGTGTGTTCGTTCCAGTGATACGAGTCTCTCCCCGCCTTAAAAAGAAAACATCGGTCCGCCGGGTATCGTATCAATTGATAACTGCACGACCATAACAAAAAACGACACCGACACCGGCCTGGTCCCCACTCTGCCGAGTCATTGTGTTCCTAAGAAAAAGAAGAATTAAATACTTTATTTTTAGCAAAGTCTAAGCACTTGCACCATACAAAATTGCGAAACTTATTCGGCGTATGCGGACGGCTCGAAATGTTGGCTACGAAAAAGAGCTGACCTGTCGGTTGGTGGATCAAATAGAGTGCGATTTATTACAAAACCGATTTGAAAGGTAATTATAAATAAAGTTAAGATTTACTAAACATAAACATATGTACATGTATATATCATAAATTCAACGGATCGGAAGCAGTTTTCAAAGTATTCCTGGTCCTCATTTAGGGTATCATCTGATGGTAAATGAACCGCTAAGATCTCGTTAACTTTTGTTATGTTTTTGCTGATTTAAGCACCCATTTAATTGGGCGGCGATGGAAAGGTAGCAGACGGGCGGCAATTTGCCTTGCTGCGTGCGTGATGGTGTGGACAGCGCGTGTTTGATTCCGCGGTGTCTAAATTTGGCTGTACACTTGATTACGCACTTAAATTTTATAGACAATTATGTGGGGATCCTTGGAGGAGGGAGGTTATGTCTATAACATTCACGCACAAAAACGCGACCACGCCCATCTTGTTAATGGCAATTAAATGACACCGAGACGGTAAACGTGCGGTTTACAGACAAATGCAAATGTTATGATGCTTGTCCCCCAACCCTAGCCAGTCATACGGCCCAGTTTATTATAGGAATGTTTCTTTTGTTTCACGCGCTAACACGTGTCGGCAATTGAAATAGAAAAAAGTGTGTGCCCCTGTCTCCAGGCCTTTGCAGACACCCACGAGCCCATTAAAATCACACATAAAGAAAGAATGAATGTGATAGAAGGGAGAAAGAGAGAGAGGAGACGGCGGAGAACGAGATGGCGACAACTGTCGACTCATGTGTTATGCTAATTCCTCTTTTATTGTTTTCTGCTCGACTTTTGCTGCCATCTTCGGTTCTTTCGGCCAGACGACAGTTAACGTCACTCTCAGAACCAGACGATTAAAGCGAAACAGGAAATCAGACATCGCCCGCCTGTTTACCGTTAGTTTCGCAAGCAGTGCTAAAGCTGAGCGCTGAGGCTGAGGCTCCGCTGCTTGGCCCCAACCAAACCAAACCCGAGAAAAGCCAAAGGCCATTGAATTGCCTTTTCATTACGACAACAGCGAGAAATGTGGGCTCCCAAAAATACATACATATATATGTTTGTATATCCAACCATCAACACAAACACAACTCATTCAAGCACACTCACACACACACACAAACACGCAAGCAGTGCGAAAGGGGGCAGAGACGGTGGGAAGGAGGAAGCGAAAGCAATCGGCCGTAACAAAATTTCCGACACGTGCGACAAAATTGCCTGTCCATGGGTGGGGTGCGCGGGCCCCGTGGGCCACAGGGTCTGGGCAGGAGGCAAGCAGTCAAGCAGGCAGACAGGCCCCAAACAGAACCGAAAACTTAACCCAAAACAAAAGGCTCGACGAAACCAAGTGAATATTTTCCGACAGTGTAGACATGGCCTTAGTGTAATAAATTGTTGCCGCAACATTGTTGCCGAAACACTTCTGTCCGAGCGACAAATGCGTGGGCCTTTTCAAATCAAATGTGTGTCAACAGTTTTGGTTTGTTTTTGCTCTATATGGCTAAAAATAGTTTTTATTTCACATTTTATCTGTTGATAGATGCTTGTGCTCATGTGAAAATCAAATTTACTGTCAGGCACCATATTTAATTGAGATTGTATTATAGAGATAAGATTAATTAGTATTACATATTGTATATGGATCAGATTAATTTGCGTACAAAAGTCAATTAGTTAATTAATGACATATCAGCTAAAATGAGGAATAATTAATCAGATAATATTGGCAAAGTGCAAGGGGATGAAAAACTCTATAATGTATAAGTATTCCAAAATTTCATCATTAAGGCCATTAAAACCTTTATTAAGAGAATAATTTAAGCATGTATGAAACAAATTGGAATATTGATAGTTACTTTAATGTAAATAAATGTTATCATGTGGATAAATAAATGTTTCCTCTCCTAAAAGTGTTCAATTGTGACAACATCTTCACTGGCTGAAAAGCTGAGATTTTTACTGCGGTTTAAGTCAAACGTACCCACTGTGCGGCGGGGCCATTTAAACGACGTTCGGTCCATGGCTCGCGTTCATTCTGCTTCGCACGGTCGTACGGTTCGGTTCGCCTCCCAAGTAACGGGATATATAGCACTGCCAAGCTTTGAAAGCGTCGTGTTTGTTGTTTGCGAGCGCGCGTGTTCGTGCGAGTGTGAGTGTGAGTGTGCTGCTGCTGTTGTTCTTGTTGTTGCGGCGCAACAACGCGCAACGAAAGCGAAAGTTTTGTTTGGCGCGCGTGTTGCCATTGCCGTCGACGTCGACGTCGACGTCGCAGTCAACGTTCCTCGGCGTCTATGAATTTGCACACACACCTCTACCCAGCTCTAGTCCGTGCTCGTGCACATCCCACCTAGAATAGATTAAAAGCGTGTGAAAACAACAACGAAAGCGCGCCAGGGGCAGAGAGAGACAGATAGAGAGCGAGAAATATGCTCATTATTTTCAATGAGGGTGCAATAAATTAAAAGAAGCGTGTTTATGCTGCCATTCTGATCTGTTTCTGTGTCTGTGTCTTTGTGCGTGTGTTTGAGTGCGCTCCCAAAAAGAGTTTAGCCAACCGGAAGACAACAAACCAACAAATCAACATCCCCATCATTCCTACCGCATTTCCTGGAACGCTCACAAGAAGCGGTAAGTCCCTACTCCGCCAAGTGCCCCGATGCCCCGCCCCCTCAAGGCCATAGAAAAAGGTTGTGCCATAAATCTCCCAGCATTAGCATTAGCATTTGCCAAACATTTGTGGGCCACACGTGCCGCGCGAAATAATAATAAAAAAATTGCATTTGACAGTCAACTTCCGATGCTGAAAGCTCTCACCGCGCTAGAGATGCTGCTCTGCTCGGGTCTGGTCTCGCTCTCAACCTCACGGCCTCGGGTATATCTCTGTGTGGGCCTCGCATTTTTTACCCTCACCTTCTCAAGGACGAATTTAGGTCAGGATTCGCCACCGCTCTATGAGCCCAGTCCCATTGACGCATGTCATGGCCTTTGGCCTTTTGGTGGGCGGTCCTGTCTGTTGCAACACCCAAAATGCATTACAGCACGTCACATGGCGTATGCGCAATATTGATTTCTCTAGGCGCATAAAAGCTCACAATGTCAGGGTAAACATATTAATAAGCAGAAGCAAAAACACTTTAGAATAGGGACAAAAATTAGCAATAAAATGCTAAGCAATAAAAGCAAAATATGATGAAATACAAATAATAATGTTGGGTAGCCCAAGCATCTAAAAACAGTTCAGGAGAGCATTTAAAAGATTTTTCTTTGTTAACCTCCAATCCAAAGTTTTTTTTTTTTGTCAGAAGAGGTTCAGATCCAAGAGATCCAGAGAATGCATAAATAAACAATTATCTCTCCTTTCCATTGTAACAAGAGGATCATATCAGAATAATCCATAAAACTGCTCTTTTCTTTTTTGATACAAGAATAAAGGTTAAATGTTTCAAGCAACATACTCCATATTTATAGCTTTTGTTTCAATAGAAAATTGTTTACTTTTTCGGAACTAAGCAAAAATTCGTCTCGAATGTGCGTTAGATATGGCCAGGCCAATGCTTATTTATTATGATACGAAGAAACGCCACATAAAGAACTTCCTCTCCCCATACAGATGTTTTCTTTCACTTGAACAATAAACACAGCCTTGGCGTGTGAAATTTTCTCTGAGGAAACTCCAAATAAACATAAACCATTGTCTCCCCATAAGCACAGTAAAAAAAGAACTAACAAAATGGCAATGTGGAGAAATCGTGGCCACTTTTTGAGAGCAACTTTTTGCAGCTGGTCTTTGTTTGGTGTGGTGGTGTGGTGTGTGGAGCTATACGTAGAAGAGAAGAAGCGATGTCTCAGCTAAAGTGAATCAGTCAGTGACGACAGCTGTTTGTTTATTTGTTTATTCAGTGTGGAATCAATGCATTTGTTTAACTTCGACTTTGGGCTTGACAAGTCACTGGTATAACAATGGAATGGAGAAGCTTTTTCAAGTGGTGTCTTAGGCATTTAAGACAATAAACCGCAAATCTGTGAAGGCTTTACGTGGAAATATGTTTTTATGGGTGGAAACTTTTTAAAACTCTCCGTCTGGTCAATGCCATTAGCAGGAAGTTGTCACAAATACGTGGCCATGTGCACATTGGCATAACCATATCTGTATCTACACGTATGATAGGTAACTTTTGCGCGTGTGCCTTGTGGCCGCCCCATTCCTGACACCCCATGACGACCATAATCGTAGATTTATCATTTTTGCTCGAGCGCGCGCGTTCCGAATTACAGCAACAAATAAGAACAAGCTCCATCCGATATAAATATAAACAAAAGCAAAAACAAAAAACAAAAAAACAGCGAAGCGTTGTTGATACGCTGATCAGGGGCAGAGACTATGACAGCGACTGCGAGCGCAATGCTGGCTTTGGGCTCTGCCCCGATTGAGGGGGAAACGAGAGCGCGCGCAGCTTGGGGAAGGCGCAACACGTGCGTCGTTAATTCAATAAGAACAAAAAAACAAGAGCAACTCTGTAGCTTACACACACACACACACACACACACAAACACGTACACAGCCTAACACACATTTGAAGAGAGAGTTTGGGATGAAGGCGTTCATTGTTTTTGCCCAGCCAGCTCTCTGATGGCTTGTGTGTCAGATTGAGGGGAGAGAGAGCAGAAGCTTTTATCTCTCTTTCTCTCTCTCCGCGACTCTAGGCTGTGCTACCATGCACAGCGAGAAAAACTGAGACAAGTATGTATGTACAATATGTATGCTTTTTGCTGGGATTTTTCACAGTTATGGTCGCCCTTGCCATGGCTTCGCTTGCTAGTGGCAATTGGGCTACCGAAGCCGTCGACTGCGGCTGCGACTGAATGACAGGGTCGTCTTTGTTTTTGCAATTTCCCTTACTAGTATTTGTGTGTGGCTTGGCTTTGTGTGAGCTTTTTTTTTTGCATTTTAATTTATGCCGGCAACTACAAAATTAATTCTCTTTTTCGCTTTATCTTTTGGTCATGTCGTTCGCTTCGTCGTCTGTCTCTTTTGAGTCGCACGTGTGCGACGCATCTGTGCCGGTCTCCGTCTGTCCCTGTCTCTGTGTCTGTGTGTTCGAGTATCTGTGGGTGGTAGAGGCATTCTAAACTGTAACATTTCGAAGAAAAACAAAATGTTAACGGCTACTGTATTAGCCGACCCGAACGCCCATGAATGCCAAATGTGAAACACGAGACACAGCCATAACAATAAAAAATTGCCTAATTTTCTATGGGTATAATTAATTTGCCTAATGGCATATTAGGGAGATTACTATTATGTGGGATCCATGGAGATTTATTCAAATCCCTTGAAATATACGAGTATTAGCCATTTCCGCCCAGTCAAAAGCGGGTGTATTATTTTAATAAAATCAAACGGATTTCAATAGGATGCTGTGTGATGTGGCAAGTGGGAAGTGAAATAATTTATTCCCTTAGAAATTTATTCAACGCTTCTACTCCCAGAAGTTTGACCGCCGTCTCGACCACATGACGTATGAGTAATGTGTGTGCGTTTGATTTGGTTAACAGCGGAAATTGCCATAATTTACTGTTGCCGGGTGATATAACTCTAGTTTTCCAGTTGCTCAGTTATTAAAATGACACGTAATTATATTCAATCCCAGCCGCAGAACCAGCTCCAGCCCAGGGCGCCATAAGCTTGATGATTAATGAGATTTCACACTCCCCATACCACAGTCGATCCTTCGTCTGCAATGTGTGGCACTGGGCGCTCCTACGTGCATCGGCTAACTAGATGGTCAGCAACTAGGCAAACACTATATACACATACATAGATATGTATAGATAATATGCCCGACCGCACTCGGAATTCGTTCTACTAATTGCTGACCCAATAACGAGAGACACGACGCTTAAGTAAATGTAACCGTAAATTAATGCACGCGCGTGTATTTGTCCGAGTGTGGGTTTCAGAGGGAGAGGAAGAACGCTGCCGGGGGCTGTATCGAATTTGGGATACCCATTATATGGACAGAGTCTTAGCGGTTTGAGTAAGATACTTATATTTCATTCGTGTAATAAATAAGAAATGATCTAAGCAAAATGTTAAATATCCAAATCACATAAGAAATATTAAAATATTCAAATTAGACTTAAATTAAATATAAGTAAAGCTTTTAGCACTAGGATAGAAACTCAAATAAATTCAAAAATAAATATAAATATACTAACATTAATTTTATGCTAACTACCACATATATGCAGACATAGTACATACATATGAGTACATCTACCTTCTGTACTTTATGATCAAGGGGTAAAAGAGTGAGCGGTAGACTAAGTAAACTCTGATGTCCCATCTTTTGTCTCACTCTGTCTTTATCTGTTTCTCATGCTTCATTATAAAAGTGACACACGTGCGGCTAAGACAAACAGTACACAGTTATTGTGTTGGCATCTCTTCCCATCTTTTGTTTTGTTTCATTTTGTTTTATTTTATTTTTGCTAATTTTATGGGCACATTAGCGAATTATATTTCACTGCCATTCAGCCACTAGGCAAAGCATAAATTAAACAAAGGCGGGATACGCAGCTGAGGAAACGAGTCGAGTGTAGTATGGGGGCTGGGGGAATGGACAAACAAAACATCTGATGGCCAACACACGCGCCGGTATTGGCTTCTGGGGGATTACCCACTGGGGGCTTTTTCAGTGAACTCCTTTGGCCATCCGACTCCGACTGCCGCACTCTTTTGTAACCTAACCTGAACTAGGGGTTCAGGCTCATAGAGTTGTCATCCACTCACTCAATTTTGGCTGACTCACGGAACCAACGGTTGCCTGACCTTTGAACCCACGAGCGGAATGTTTCCAGGAAGATGTCCGATGTACGAGTACGTAGATTATCATCAACTAGATAAATTTATAATATTTAAATGCTGATAAAAAAAGGAGAGACCTTGACCTAGAACAGAATCTGTCAAGTGGTGTGTTAGCTGGTTTTGAAGTAAATGGTTGTTTAGAAATCAAAACATGTTTCGGCCATTAAGAGTAGTAGAGGGGCCGTGACGTGGAGTTGTCTCAATGGGTACATACTACAAAGAAGGGGAAGTGAGTAAAATAAATGGATGTTTTTAAATGTAAGATTAAAATTTGTTTATTAAACATAACTTTTGGCGCACCTCCATTTGAAATATTCTACAATAACAAATCTATTTCTAACTGGCTCAGACTTTGCCAGCTCAAGTATACTCGAGGCACATTGAGACACACGTGCCAAAGCAACGAAAAATTAATTAATTAATCAATGGTAAATGTTGCGCACAACATTTTTATGATGTGCCAATGAAACGAGTCAACCACGAATTATTGCCGACAAAATGTCAAGCTCTCGAAGGCCCCAAAATTTATGTTCACGAATCATTAAATTCATTCAAAGTGGCAGTCAACGAACAATGAACAGGCTCTGTTCGGTCCAATTAGCCCCTCAACAATCGAATCGAATCGAATACAATAAAAAAGTTGTCAATAAAATCGAGAACTTGAAAATTAAAACATTCTCTTCGGTGGCAGCAGCAGCGGTCTGCGCGATATGCAAAGATCTGTGCTTGATCTCTACAGATTCATCAATTAGAAACGCACCTTTCTGTACCACACAGTCACATTTGTGTTTTATGTTTTATGTATTCCGGAGATCGGGTTTCGGCTCTAATGTTTTGACAATCAATGTTTTATTATGGTTTAAGGCACTCAAGCGTTTAGCTAATTTGATTGGTTGATTGATTTTTGTTGTGGATAATAAGCGGAAAGAAACAAAAGAATAAAATCTTTATCTATTGCTGGTGCAAAATTTGAGGAATTACTTTATATATTTCCATACTTTCTTTATGGATTCCAAAACAAAAAATTCAAATTCAACAGAAATTTCATCATTGCCTGTAATCAAGGGAAATAATACTGATTGTTTACCTTATTAAAAGCGTCTGCTTGTATTTAATTCTTATACAAAATAAGCAGCGATTAGTCAGAGATTGGCTTGAGCTTGGGATTATTTGTTTGCCTTAAGTAGAAATTTATGCTGGATTGCACATTGGACCCCAGAGACAGACAATGTCTGTCTTTTTCTGTTTGTCTGTCTGGGAATCGTCTGTCAGAGCGGAGTGTGTGGCTATGGGTCCGGCTCGCTTTTGTTATTGGATTCCGCTTATCGGCTGGGTAGTCATTATTTGGCACACGTGTGTCTCATTTGATGTTTTTCGGTTTTTATTATTTGCTTTCCTTGTTGCCATCATAAACATTTATCGCCTTTCCGATGGCTAACCGAAAATTGATTATAAACAGAAGCAGCAGCGTCAGGCAGCAGTGGCAGCGGCACTTTTGCGATGGGACCATGCTAATCGTTGGAACGTTGTCTAGACCGCTCTTAGCAAGTGTCGCTTGAGGGCTGATACACGAGTATGGCTCTGCTCTCATTTTTCTCCTCCATTGTGGCAAGTCTCTTCCGTTTGCTGGCACGTTTTTGCCAGCCATAACCGTATCTAAATACTATTATGACGCATGTCGATTGCCTGCTCTTTTCACTATACTCTTTCAGAGGTGATTATTATTTCAAGCCTAAAAATGACTCGTTCCTACAGCCAAGGGTACAGCCAAGCAAGAGTACATGTGCTTCGTTTTGTGGGAATTGGCTTGCCACATAGTAGGTTTCGTCGTTAGTGTTGCTGTCTGACTTTCCGGCGCATGTGTCCAGATAAGAAGGAAAATTAACACTTTTACGCTGAGGTTGAGTTTGTGGCTGTGTCTATATGGTTGTAGTTCCTGGCGTTGTCGTCATATCAGGGGGAACATGAGCAGTTCCAGCTAAGTCCTAACAAGTTATGGCAGGAGATTTAATTATGACAAATGTAATGTTGTTTAAAGGAATGAAGGCACTGTCCCTTCATGTTCAAAGATGCTCCCGGAGAACTGTAATATTATTGATTACAGTCATAAACAAACGAGTCATATCCGTAGACTTTTTATCTTCTATTTTCGGAAACCTAAATGCAAGTTCTATTGAACATTCGATTGATTTCCAATCACCTTCAATAGTAATTATACCCACACCTGAGAAAAGGCAGTGTATCTGGGGCTAAACAACTATACAAATCTCAAGCAAACATTGGCCTGGCTGGGGTAAACAGTGTATGTAAGAAATAATAATAAAATACACATGCAATGGAAAGTTTTATAGTCAAAAACAAATACAACAAAAATGAGATTTCTGTTCGCTTTGGCGGTGTCTTTCAATGTGCGGCGCGTGTAAAGTTGTTAGATAAGGTCAGAAATAAATGGAATGCCCCATTACAGATTAGACATTAGACAAGGCAAGGCAGTCCGAGGTTGAGAAAAGCGACAGTGACAAAGAATGTAATGACGTAATGGCAAAAGAGAAAAAAGGAATCAAGTTAATATTAAGTATACGCACCGTTTTGTTATCTTCTAAATTAAAGTTCTGCTTTGGCTTTCACGCTTCACCCCTAAGGTTGGTAATTTTATTTATGAATATTTCAAGGCATATTTAAGGGATCTTTACGGCAATTGCCGGCAGACACATTTTGAGAAACGAGACCCAAGTGCAATCTAAAACGTTTCCCTTCATGTGCGCTGCGTGCGCCCCAAACACGCGAGAACAAGAAGCCAGACGGGTTGACTGCCATACACCTGTGGGCAAAATACTAGCAATTTATATGAATTTAGGCTTGGGTTTCGTTTGTTTGGATTGCAAAAAGATTGAATTAGATAAACTCTTTTCGATTTCAAGCTAAATTTATAAAAAAATTTTAATTAGCTCCGTATTTAATCTAAATAGGAAACAGTTTATAATAAATAAAATATATTAAAATGATATGAAATTTATTTAAGTGTATTGAAGTTATTTAATTTATATATGAAATATACCTTATGTAACCATGAAATATATTTTAATGTAATATTTTCTTTTTAATATTAAAATACAAGTAAAATTTTCACTCTCGGAACCAATTTATTGGTATATATTTGTATATCTTAGTGTGAGTATAACAATTTTGTTGCTTTTTTTTGCCTGGGTGTAACATCTGTATACCCGATTTAAGTTTCTGGGAAGACCACTATTAGCAGTAACACAGCTGTATATCTGCTGGGCTCACATACATATGTCTGAGAGAATGATGCCACTCACTGGATGAGGGAGGTACACTGATACATATGCTGTGCCCGAAGCGTTTCACGTTTCACATGACAAATACATTTGAAAATGGCAACGCCTTGGCAGACGAACACGCACGGGCACAGACACCGCCAGAGTGAAGAGAGTTCCTTAACCTCTGGAACTCGCATTTTGGACAAAATATTGTGGTGGTTCTTTGCGTCTTGCCGCCGGCCACAATTGCCTTGCCTTGAGACGCCTCAACAATTTCCAAAATAAAACATAAAGAACGAGGAAAAAGCACACAAAACCAGACAGAAAGGAAATGAAATTTCCTTTCCGTTCTGTACTGTTGGCGTGTGAAAAGTCATTGGCATAAGCGCGCAGATTCTTTTGTTTTGCCTCGCGCGGCTGTTTTGTTTCCACTTTTTTCTATGACAGCTGACAGTTCGGTTCGTGTTTCTGCTGTGTTTTCGTGTGGCGTGTCATGTTGAACAATTATTGGCTAATTTGTACGCACGCAGCGGGAAATCTCACCAAAGTTGCTTGATTGACTTGACCCCAGAGCCAGTAAAAGGTAACGGCGGTGGAGAACCCCAACAACAGGTGTCTTTGTGACGAAAACAAAACGTGTTTCTAATTGTGCCACCAACAAAGGATTAAATATTAATAGAATGTGCATGGTGGTTGAACTCCAACAATAGTTTAATAGAAGCTTAGGCCCGGCGTCCTTAAATATACCATCTTACCTTGGCGCACATTTTAATCTTAGGAAACATCTTGCTGGCTGTCTCCCACTTTGTTGTCCCATCTTCGGGGTTCTGGGTGGCTGCTGCCACGCTCCATAAGGTCTGCCACGCGCCGTATTAAATTTGCCATTGGGGCAATTCGTGGAGGCTTAGAATTTGTTACGCACATTGCCGTCTTTTGTTACAACACAACAGACATTTCACTGCCACTGCCACACTGCTGCTGGCCCTGCCCGTCCGGCTGGAATGATGACTAAGGACTCTACGACTCAGCCCAGCTCCGGCTTTAACTATCGGATGACGGATAAGGCATAAATAATGAAATGTAATTTCAACGCATATTGACGCATTGACATCAAACCGGGAGTCGGAGGGGGAAATCTTCTTAGTCGTCCCACAAGCATTTAAAGGACTTTTGGGTTCTGGAGGGTTGGGGGCAGCCTGGCTTGGTAGAATGCCGTCAAGGGCCACAAACATTTCATCATCGTCGCGGGCGCTTTTACCAAATGTAATTACACTCAAGAGATACACGTGCCGTCAACAAGCTCGTTTCTTGTTGTTGTTGTTGCCGTTGTTGTCGTTGTTTTTGTAGTTGGTGGTGTGTCTGCTGCTGCTGCTGCTTTTCAGGGCGTTTTTCAATTTGAATTTGACTGCCTCCAGGCACTTGAGCTCTTGAGGAATTTTGTATGAGCTCACAAAATGCTTTCTCCATCAATATTCCGCTTCCACCCAAAACTCACTTTAAGTTTATTTACCTTTGGCGCCCGATGGTCGTTAGCCAGGATTTGAGGCACACTTAATGAGACTGTGGTGGTTTTTGTGCGTCGTCCTGAATTCTGATGCCACCAAAGTGTTTCTCCAAAATGTCAACTCGGTAAATGGGCCGCAGACCCGGGACTTGGGGCTATGAACTTTGGGCATTGAAGGGGCAGCCGCTGATTGTTTGATTCCAGTGATTTATGTAGTTATAATGGCAAAGAGGGTAGGCTGCTCTCCAGCTGTATGAAGATTAAATGGTGGATTACGGGCAACGAGAACCCTTGAATGTGCATCGAAAGAAGCCATTCTTTCCATAAGAGAACTTTATCCAACTCTAATTCTCTTTTGTGCACTGCAATATAAATCTGTGGTATTTCCTTTTACTCTGCTTATCGCCACCGATTTATGGGCCCCTCCACTTGCTGCTCCTGCTCTGATTTAATGTCCACAAAAGATATACATATGTATGTATTCTGCACAGAATGCGGTGGGAATTGTGCTCGAGTTTAATGAACCCCCTAAACGAATTTTATTTAATTGAGTTGAGAATTTAATTTTATTTTTATTCCGTACTTGACAGCGCGTGCAGCAGCAGACGCTGTCCAGTAGCGGTGGGGATACTCGTATTTATGCACTGAGCGACCGTGTAGTCAATTAATCAATTTGGCGGCTAATTAATTGCGGGCTTTGTTTCTTTCTTTGTTGCAGTGTTAGCCACCCAAAGGAATGGCACCCACCATATGCTCGGACAAAAAACCGCTGCGAGATTCGAGGCGACATCGTGTCGTGGCTACGGCAGCCATTTCATCAGCCGCCACCACCGCATCATCATCATCAACGTCCTCGTCATCCTTGCCAGCAGCTGCTGCCGCACGAGGCAGCTCAGTGCTTAGCTATGGTGAGTAACAGTACCAGTAACAGTAAGACCCTCCCCGACCCCTCCGACACCCACAACAGCCAATCTGGAAATAAGGGAAAGATATCGGTCAAACTGAAAGAAAAAGGAAACCATTTTGCCTACTCTTAGTATTATAATCAAATCAATTAATGGCATAAGCTGGGTAAAAGGCTTTGAGCAAACGGAAAATATGAATTATTTTGTATGGTTTCATGTCCTTTTTGAGGAGGGCTTCACATGTGGGCATAATCATTATAATTTAAGTTAATTATATTTGTATTTTCAGCAACTAACTTGTTGTTTATTGCTTTTGTTAAATGATAAAGAACCTCCCACAATATCGTTTACGAAATGTTTAACCGGCTGTCAAACCCTTTTTACATTCCATCTCTCCATCATTGAGATGAATAAAGTCTTTTTTCTTGTTTTTGGCTCAGTGCAGACAGCTCTCTGTCGCTGCCATGGGCGCACACGGCGCATACGTAACATTGCCTTCTATATTTATTGCAATCTACGCTTTGTCTCCTTTTTTAGTTGCTCTTTATTTCCCTTGATTCCCTGCTGTGTTGTGCATTTGCCAGTCGTCTTACGCTCACGTTACGCGGTCATGTTTAATTAATTTATGTAAACTTGACCGCTCCCTCACCGCACCTCCGCCGCAGTCCCAGTCACCACAGCTATCTTTGCTTTCTCCCTTGCCACTGCCACTTGCCACAAGGGCTCTCACTCTCTCTGCTCTGCTCCGTCTATAGCTGAACTAGAGGACGCACGTGCCTCATGCCCTGATGGGTCGTTTGGCGCTCCACGTGTTGGATACCAATGTTGCTGCTGGCAGTGTTGGTTGGTCTTTATTGAGGCTGTTACTGTTGCATGGCTGGCACGCGACTTTGGGGTTATGCTACAACAATTTGCGTCAGCAATTGGCCCACATGGCATATCCGGCTGCTGGCTGCCTGCTGCCACCTCCATCTGGCTGTAGCCTGTCGCTGTTGGGTAAGACGAAGCTCGTATGTGAAAACGGCCTGACAGATTTATATAAGCGATCTATCTATTGCCCCACGACTAACAATGAAATGGATATTGACTGCCGCCAGGCGATATCCAGGGGAATTATTTTGAATTCCTTCAAAGAAATACATTTAATTTATTTATTTATTAATTCTTATATGAATGAAAGCGTACGTTTGATTGATGGTGTGCAATATTTTTGGGGTTTTTTAATACCCGATAGCCGAAGAATACATGGGTAGAGCAGAAGTATATATTTGATTTTTGCCTTTTCAGGAAAATTTATCTGTAACTTGTGGGCTAATTTATCCAACCATTTCACAGCGAATATATATTCTGACCAGTGCTATTTTTATTGAGAAATATAACACGCCCATCCGAGAAAATAGGGTGGGGTATGCGAGTGTGTCATAACCTTTGCACGTTTTTGTTGCTGCTGTGCCACTTTTGCCTGATGGGCTGGGAGGGGCAGGGGGTCTCTTTATTTACATGTTTTGCACATTTGCTTCGCCTGCTTTTAGCCAACTGTGCTTTTTATTTGTTGTTGTTGCTTCTGCTTCTGGCTTTATTGGTGCCATATTCAATGCGAATTCATTGAAAGCGTTGCCTGTGTTTTTTTTTGTTTGTTTTTTTGCTGTACTCGTTGCTGCCTACCCTGCTAATTTCCAGCAACACATAAAAATAAAACCGAAAAATATACGCACACACAGGTCTACAATAAAAATGGGTGTGATGGGGCCACGTGCGGATGCCTTCCGACGCTTGGCCCCCCTCTGGCTGAGTGGGCGTGGTTCCCTGTCTGAGGGGCTGGGGTAGCAGCAGGTGACGGGAGCCTTTGGGCATTGCCCTCGCCCCCCGTTTTGTGCATTTTAAAATTGTATTTTTACTTTAATAAAGCATTAACCGTTGACTAATCAGCTGAGCACGGAACGAGGCACGTGGATTCCACAGTCATCAATGACGAGATCGCTGGCGGCGCAATGAGCACAACAAACGGCAAACAGCAAACAGAAAAACAGCCACAGTCACAGTCATGGCCCCATCCTCAGCTCCCCAATGAAATGCAATGCATTGCAATGCCAAACGTAGACAGACGCAGGCAAGAGCATGTGACTGCTTCTACAGAAAAGCAAATAGTGCTGGAATACCAGAGAAACCTAGGGTTCAAGATCTACGACTAAAGGATATCCATTATTCGGAAGAAAAGGGAACTGGCTGTATATATTTTTCACATAGTGTAGACTTTAGGGACATCCTTGATCTATGTGATCTTTGAAAGCCTCTTGATGCCCTACTAAAACAACATTTACACAAATACAATATACCCTGGTACTCTACTAGTGTAGGGGGTATCTTGCATAAGTTGAATGGCGACAAGAGAACGAATGCCAGCAAAAGGCATTTGACAATTCAGGAAGTAAGTCAATTCTCGAGAAGAAAAGAGGGTGCAGTGGGTTGAATGGGGCGGGTGGGAATGGCAATCAATACTTCCGCATCGTGTTGAGGATTGTTGTCTCTGGTGCACATGCCAAGAACATGCGTCTCGCTGATTTCCGTTGAGAGCCCCCGGCCGGGGCCGCACTCAAGTGGAACGGGACGGGGCGTATACGCAATGTTGAGTGCATGTGGGAGGCAAATCAAAACAGGCTTTGCCTTAGTTCTAAAATAGATACACAATTAAGAATACAAACAAAAATAAGCATAGGAAAATTCCAGTAACACACAGCCAATATGAATGAATTATCGGTCATGGACTGCGCCAAGATGCCACTGGATCGCATGGACATGGTACAGCGCAGCTTGAAATGCAGAACCATCGAGATCTTTGAATATGACGAGCCTGTCAGCTTCACGGGGGAAGAGGAGGAGTTGGCCATAGAGCCCACGCCCGACACTGAGGATGCCACAGAGGATGACGAGGATCGGGCTATGCATGCGGTGGCCGAAATCGATTGCATTATCCGACGCATTGAACTGATGCAGCTTGCCATTAGGCAACGTCAAAATCAAGCCATATCCGAGGACCAGACGGCCCCCGAAGAAGAGCAACAGCCAGAGGAGGAATATCTAACCAAAATCCAACAGTTATGCCAGGAGATTGAGCGCAAACGGAAGGAGCTGGATGTCAAAGTTGAAGTCCAGGAGCTTATGCCGGAACGGCCGAAGCCTCTGGAGCTGAGTTGCCAGGAAAAGGTCGAGGTGCGTGACCTCCAGCATGCCCACCATCGCCTGCAGTGTGAAATCTCAGAGATGATCTGCCGCTATCAAAATCTGCGCGGCACCCTGCGTGATTTTCGCCTCCGGATGTGCTCGATAAACAAACAGTTGCGCCACATGTCCGCCCGGGCGCAGGAGTTCAACGAGTGGGTCCTACAGGTGGCCGGCGAACTGCACGTCTGCCTGGAGCGCTACCACTACTTGCTCCATCAGAAGATATCCAAAATAGAGGCACAGACCACGGCCAAGGTCCACATTTTCCGATTTTTTAGCCTAAACAAACTATTTCTAATGAACAGTCGTCTGCCGAGAGATCTACGAGACCTTCGCTTTGAAATCGATGAGCTTTGTATCTTTATAAACGATTTGAGCGCGGAAATGGAGGAACGTTTTGATAAGGTTGAGCACTCGACCTGGATTAAGAACAAGGATTTCGGGAGCACTAAAGATCTCTCGACACCACTGGTTGAAATGCAGTCGGTCCTGTCCACGGTTATTAAGGGAAAACCCTCAAAGATCAAAAGAACCAAACCCAATAAATAGATCAGAACTTTATTGATTGATTGGTAGAGTAAGGAGGAAAATATTTGTAGTTTTCTTGTATGTTTTTCAGCCAAATGTGATATATTTTCCACATAAGTCGCTAACCCCCCATCATTCCATTGTATTTGTCAACCGGCAAACGCCCAACCAATGCAGGCTGGCGCCCTGAAGTCGACTCTGCCATTACATGCGGCGTCACACACTCACGTTTCGGGGCACTGGGGTTTGTGGGGCGGCTAGTAGGGTGCAGCTTATCAAAAAGAAAAGCTATATTTGCACAGCGCAAACAGGTGCAGGGCCCAATGAATGTTCCGATCCGAATGTGTGCACGTCGACTGCCATGTGCAATGTTTAAGTCGAAAAACGGAGGCAGGTTCCGTCATGATCCTGACCACAGACACAGTCACGGAAATGGTATTGGGGAAATGATTAGTGTCAAGGGTGTATGGTGGGAAGGGGGGCGTTTGTGTAGGTCATGAGGTAGTGTGTTGCTATTTGCCAGAGCTCCCAAGAGCTCGTCGACAACTCAACAGCTGTTAGCGGATGGAAAAAGAGTGTTACGACTGCTGGGACTGAAAATTGATGCGAAACGCTTCGAGTCACGTTTCCCCAACACACGCGATGTACACAAACAGACAGACAGGGACAGTCCAATGATCGGTTGACAACCGACTGATTAGCAGATGAACGAGGGCCTCAGCGGCAAAGTTTTTATCAGTTATTACTTACTTGAATCCAATGTCTAATTTTGTTCTTTTTTACCATTTTTTTTTACAGTAGCCGAGGGTTTAATGAACTCGGCGGGTCGCCGACGCCTGGTCAGACTGCACCGCCGAAGACTGCCAGTGATCTCAGGCAGTGCCGCTGTACCGTCGTCCCCACGGAGTGGCACACAGGCGGAGGTCAGCAGGAGAGCGGCAATACAGACAGAGATGCAATCAGCGCGGGGCCAAATCGAGTCAGCAGAGCACCAGACTGCACATCCTCTGCAACTGCAACTGCAACAACAGCAACATTCCATCAGCGAGTCTATCAAAACAGTATTACAGCCTACCATGGCTAACAGCAGAAACAGCTTCAGTCATAGAGGAGCACCAACAGCCAGACATTGTGTATTAGCTGAGTCAATGGACGACGATGGCGACAGTGGCTACGAGTACTCGCAGGAGCCCACCAAGGAGCAGCAGCATAGCTACCATCCTCAGAACACCGACGGTCTGCTCTCTATTGCCATCAAGACCATCAAGCTGGTGCAGCGTAACAAGCTGCTGCAGAAGCGTCTGGCACAGCTGCAGCTGGAGACCTCGGAGTTCATTGCCTCGGTGTTGGCCAATCCCGAGAATCGGCAGTACCGCGAGAAGATCACCACCACCACCGCCCCCCCCAAGACGGAAGCCAAGGTCAGCAACATGCTGCTGCGCCACTAGACAGGGCCCTTGCCTAACAATTTTATTATTTTTTATTTTGGTTTGTTTTTTAGAACCCATGCCCCGTTTTCGGCTGACGCTGGACGCCAATTGCAATTTCATAGGAATCCATCTACATATCTATTCTTCCAAGACAAAATCACATCCCTAGCAAAGCGCGCATTGAATTATTATTTTAATCTATTAAGGTCCCAACAAGGCCCGTTTTCACAGTCAGCTCATTACACTGTTTGTTGTTATCTTGAAGAATCGAGTGGCTCCACCACCCACTAGCGGAACGGAATCTAAGAGCGGGCGAATCTCTTCAATCTCTTCTCTTCGCGCGCGCTTTTTTGAAATTTTGTTGTATTTTCGTATATTTTTAATTTCGTGATTTTCAACACTGCACTGAAATTATGATCATTCGTTGCATACTTTTGGGCGGATTGAGTTTAAAACACATTTTGCTGAATTTGTTTGAATATATTTTTTAATTAAACATCTGATCTGTCATAAACGCTACTGCCACACTGCATCTATAAAATTTATCCTATGGAATTGCAATTAGCAAGATATCAATTCGTATTCCCAAGGGACTTAGTTTTGAGCAATTCGTACTGATTATCTTTATGAAACCACGCATCAAAATCCAATATTTTGAGCATACAATTAAACAAAAGATCAACAAAAAAACTACGTCTAACATATACATACATACATACACGAGAAAATAATATTTATAAAAATCCATGAAAAGTCTAACAAAAAAAATCTATCTTTATCCGTAGAATGCTAAGTACTTTTTATGTTCAACATTTTTTACATTCAAGAAATAATTTATAATACATTTAATTACTATATTTAGTATTTACCAATCATAATCATTGAAAACCCAAAACGCTTTTGGCATTATACAACAAAAATAGAATAATTCTACGTGAAACACGATTGAGATGTAAAGCAATTGGTTTAGACAAAAACAAAGCAAGCCGCTATACGTAATAGATCTCCGATATCGGAGGCCCCCAAAACGATACTACCTATAGATACGGAGGCGTTATCAGAATGCAATGTAAATCAAAGTAAAACCAAATTGTATTCTAAAGACAAAGCTAATTGTTCCAATTCTAAACTAAACATACAAAATTATGTGTATAATTTCCTAACTCTCTACATAGATGGTAGTAATAAGTATTTCATTGACATTTTCTACCGTACAATAATGGCTGAGATATCAAATCATTTAGAAGAGATCGGATCGCTACAAAATAACTATATCATCAATAAAATTAGTGACAAATAAAAACATAAATAGACCTATTATGTTTGTACTTATTTCCCTGCGGGTTTCTTGGTTTCCCAATCAAAGCAAACAAGTCATGGCTAAGTGAGTACTTTGGTCGTGTCAATAACACCCAATCAAAGCGTTCAAAGACCGTTTCGAGTCGCACAGATTTGACATGGAAGTCTGTCATCGAATTAGTCACGACAACGACAATGGGTCATTCCGGAAAACGTTGGCCGTGGGCAAACATGATACCAAAGAGATTTTGAACTAGGTACAAGCTGATGAAAGCATCATAATTTGTTTGATGTTTAATTTTGTTGTAAGCGATTTGAAATGATTGTAGAACACCCCATCGAATACTTTGCCATAATGCATCTCCATTGAATGTCTATGAAATTACACCGCAATTGTTTCAAGTTCATTCAATTAAGTCGGGCCTCCTTCGACCGGCTCAGACCTTTTGAGTGGCATTCAATGGCTTTGAGTCTTTGATTATGATTATGATTATGATTATGATGGTGGAAGTACCTTCTTGTCTGCACGTCAGCCAAGATACCTCTAGCCTATTTTTGGCCAAATACTTGACATTCGACGCACTCAGCTCTCTGATGGGCATCTCGGATTTGTCGAGTAACCTTTTTTTGACGTTGGTCAATCGTCGTATTGTGGGTGCCTGGGTCTGGCCCATCGTTGTGGCTGTTATTGTTATTAGTTTTACAGGCATTATTTTATATTTTATTGGGTTTTTTACGGACTCGTCTCACGTCTTCATCTGTTTGAGGCACGTGATTTATATACAACAATGCGAGTTATGGACATTTATATAGTCTCGAGTCAGACGAGACCCACTTGACACCGAGGAGGTTTTATTGCCGCCCGGCAAACGGTGCAGAAAATGTTGCCCACCAACTGGCGGCCCGGCTCGGCCTGAACTTGATTTGTGTTTATGTTAAAGCCGTGATTTGTATTTGTGTTTGGCAATTTGTATTATATTTTTTTTTTTGTGTATTTTGTTTCTGGGTGCTGCCAAGTGTTAAATTGTTAGCAATTTCAGGTGAGAAATTAGATCTCTGTTATGATTAGCTTGCCAAGGCCGTTGAAATGTATATTTTTGAATGTTAGTCAGTAGAAAAAAATGCATGTACGGGTAAGTATGCAAAATCCTCATGGGCAATGAGAGATGCATTCACTTTAGGTGTTTACTTTGGCATATTTTCACACTAGGCAATGCCATTTGCATTATCGGGTAAGCAGTTTGAAGCACCTAATGTGCACATTAGGACTTCATAAAGCAAGCAAAAGCTGTTACAAACTTGACTAATGGAATGGCAACACCTACTTTTTGCAGGACCTTTTGTTAAAGGTTCACATTTATGGTAGCAATTTGTGGAGCGGATGTGCTCGAGGTCTCAGATTTAAGAAATGTAACCATATCTCAAACAATTATTTAGCTACATGGTTTCAGATGTCGTAATTTATAGGAAACGCAAAAAACCCCTCGAAAGTAAAGTGGCTGTTGATTCAGTTATAAATTATCTATTACCCGATCTAACTTCTGTTTGGTATGGTCTTCGAAAAATTGTTGTCTCATCGTGTGCTTTTGGCCAACTATCAGTAAGCCAAGCCACCCCCGCCCACACGATTAGCCATGTTCGGCTTTTGTTAGGCAGTTAAAATTTAATTAGCAAAGCGCATTGTTTTCAGCCTTTGATCATTGATCAATTATCAGGTCTCGAGTGAGTGGTGTGAGGCAAATCAGTTTATGGAGAGTGTTTGCAGTCGATAGAGGCGGGACAGTCAGTCAGTGAGTCGGAAAGTGACTGTTGCCAAGTCATGCAAAATGAATATGCATAAAAGCCGGGCAAATATCAACTATGGACCCACAAATAAATCGTCTCATGAGACAGTGCAAAATGCATTCAATCCGATTTGTTTGGATTGTATCTATAAAAAGAAATACAGGCAAAAACATACAACTCTTGTACTCAAGGTTAGCTTCAGCGAATCACCGAAAATTGCAACAACAACAAAAACACACATTGATTGTGAAAGTATCTGCGAAATCGGGCGAGCTAAAGCCGACATTTTTCAGTTGCCCATTAATGAAACGCTTTGAATGTTGCTCGTATGCAAATGATGCCTGGGCCAAGTCCAAGTCAAGCCGAAGAAACCCAGGCATTTGTAATCTTTTGAATGCCATCTTAATGATTCCACCAACCATCAGACCCAAAACCCAAACGATCTTGCAAGCCATCATGCTCGCATAATAAACCGAATGGGAATCCGGAAAAGCGGCTACCGATCCGATAGACCGGGGCGTTGCTTGACATTGAACTTCAACAGAAGTCCAATGACTTGATCCATAAAACTATAAATACGTAGTATATTCGGAGAAGAGTAAATACCGGAAGCACTTTAATTCACCTACAATGATCCGATGTTTGATTCGTTCGCATCCCAGTGCTAATCAGAGTCGACGACAAATTACTGATCGTCGCCTTGTCCGACATGGTTACGTTTACATCGAACCGAGGTCTGCTAATTCAATATGCAAAAAGCACCGGCGACACGCATCGAATTCCCTCCAAAAATATCTCATAAAATGCTTAAAAGATCATAGACAAAATTGGCAAGTTCAGGCGATGAACTTGAAAAAAGACGGTCCACTGAGAGCCACACACAAAATGTATCTCTGTTTGGCCCGTATTTTGTTGGCGTGATCGCTCCAGCGTAGCGCGTTGACCGACTTGCCCGGCAGCTACCTGTGTTGTTAACTCTTTCTGTGCTTGTTGTAGCTGGGGTTTTTATCTCAAAATAGGCTTCAACGTTGCAAGCTCGGCCAGCGACGATTCATTTAAGCGCCGGACATCAGCGGGCGCGCATGCGCATTCGACAGATAAATCGGGCAATCGATCTAAGGTGTCTCCCAAAGTGATTTTAAGCACTAGTTTTTTTTGGCAAAGCCCACCTATTAAGAGCACACGCGCCCATTTCGTAAGTGCATTCTTTTGATAACAGTTCTGTTTTTGCCTGCTGTTTGATTTGCATTGACAAACGTGTTCAGAATTTCACAAGAGAATGAATGTTCAGTGTGTGTGTGTTCATAGATCCGGATCTGGCTAGTTGACGTAAACGGCAGTGCAACAAGTGGCACACTGGTTTTAAGAACTGTGCATGACCGAAAATGATTTAGACTAAAAAAAATGCTGTTTTTCACAGCGTTGGAAAATTTTGGTTTCCTATGCTGACAAGCTGAGTAGTTTTGTTGCAGATTTGTGTATTGGACTATAATTTTCTGACGAGTTAAATGCAACCTTTTATTATGCTCATGAGTGGAATAATTTGTTCCAATTTCAAAATTGATGATTTTCTTAATGATATGTTTAAGCTGCTTCTCAAAATCAGTTAAGCTTTATATGAGCAAAGCCATTGTTTCAGTCACAGCACTGGACTACATATTCGTACATTTCTTGTTATAATTATCGAGATCTTTGGGCAGCACGTCCCAGCCAATTAAATGAGGTTTAATGACCCGCATTGATTGCTATAGACGCGATAACCAGAACTTTAATGAATGCAGTGCCCTTCGGCAGGGCGTCGGCACAAAAGGGAAACCAGCATGACGTAGGTCAGTTCTGTAAGAGCCAGTTCTGTCAGTAGGGCTCTTGACTAAGCCAATCAACTGTGGCCAACACAAGTCCAAGGCCACACTCACGTAGAACAATACCAACCGCAGGCAGAGCAACTGTATCGCGGCTCTTTGTTGTAGCGCGCAGCCAGTTTCTTGGGGGGTTAATAAGCCAGTTCGACTCTCGGCTACTCAGATAATTTACCTCCCAAGTACGCAAGTACAGGGAGACCGTCCCTCTATTGAGGTTAATTGAAATGATTTATTAACATTTGTGCAATTTTTGCTAAAGCCCTCAACAAAAACCCAAATTGAAAAATTTGCATAAAAAAACATTTTGGCGCCCACAATTTAAGTAATTTAATTTCGATTTTTTGTTTGGCGTTTCGTTGTTTTTTTCTCTTGTCAGTTTTGTTGCTTGTGTCTCTTATGGACATCCGCGTGCGGTTTATGGGTCAACGCTTAAATATTTGCGCGCTTCTCTGCGATCGATTTATTTTGATTTTTATTCAGCTGATTTTAGCTTTAATTCAGTTTCTTCTTCGTTTCATTTTGGGTTTGTTTTGATCACGAACCGGTTGGCTAGGCTAGCATTTACTTTACTTCGCTCCTTTTGCAAAGTCATTATTTTTATTGGCACTTTTGGTCGCATCAACGCTGTCTTGTAATCCCAAACCCGTTGAACTTGAGCTCAAAACGCGATCGGGAGGAGGTGTTGTGTTCGAACATTGCTCCGCCGATCGATGGAGCGTGAATTGAGCTGGTCAGAACACAGAATTGGAAAAAACAAGAATGCCAGCAGGGTGAAGCTTTAGATACTCTTACCAGACTGTTGCTCAAACTGAAACTAAATATGACTATGGAATTAGAAAGATTGCATCATAAAATCTCCTTTAGTAGCATCATCAAACTTTGTGTATTTTCTTGTTTGATTCCTCGGACCGAAAAGTAAGTCTTGAATTGCAATCGTCTTCGAAAAGTTAGAATACCCCCACCAAGGGTATGGTATGAAAAGTGAAATCATTTTGAAGGTCGCTTCGCTGCAAAAATTTACATCCAGCTGCTAATCAAGAACTCTAGACTTAATTAGAGTATTTACTCATTAACATGTCCGCTTCATCATCCTCACAGGTTGAGTTCTGACCAAGATGAGGCTTTGGCTTGGCTCCCTCCTCCTCTGTCTGTTCTCCCTGTTGCAGTCCTCCAGGGGCCAGCTCTTGGTGGACTTGCTGCGGGACTTTGAGACATCGCTGCTGAATACAAGGATCCCAGATACCACGCGCTTCTTGCCGGAGTATGACTTCATCATTGTCGGTGCTGGCACCGCAGGCTGTGTCCTGGCCAATCGTCTGAGTGAGATTACTTCAGCGAGTGTTCTGCTGTTGGAGGCGGGCGATCAGGAGACCTTCATCAGTGATGTGCCCCTGACAGCGGCCCTGACCCAAATGACCCGCTACAATTGGGGCTACAAAGCGGAGCCGACCGCCAACGCCTGCCAGGGCCTGAAAGAAGGCGTTTGCAACTGGCCTAAGGGGCGTGGCATTGGCGGTACCAGCCTGATAAACTTCATGCTGTACACGCGGGGCCATCGAAGAGACTACGACGATTGGGCGGCGGCTAACAACTCGGGCTGGTCCTACGACGAAATCCTGCCCTATTTCAAGAAGTCCGAGCGCATTGGCATACCCGAGCTGTACAAGTCGCCGTATCATGGCCGGAATGGACCGCTGGATGTCCAGTACACGGACTACAAGTCGCAGCTGCTGAAGGCATTCCTCAAGTCGGGTCAAGAGTTGGGCTACGACATCACCGATCCGAATGGAGAGCATCTTATGGGCTTCGGCAGGTCGCAGGCCACAATCCGAAACGGTCGACGCTGCAGTACCAGCAAGGCGTTCATCCAGCCAGTGGTGCAGCGCAAGAACCTGCACATCTCCATGAAGAGTTGGGTCACTAAACTCATCATTGATCCACTCACTAAAACGGCCGTCGGCGTGGAGTTCGTCAAGCAGCGTCAGCGATTTGTGGTGCGGGCCAGAAAGGAGGTCATCCTCTCCGCTGGCACCATAGCCAGTCCCCAGCTGCTGATGCTGTCCGGTGTGGGGCCCGGCGATCATCTCCGGGAGCACAATATCACAGTGCTGCAGAATCTGCCGGTGGGGTACAATCTCCAGGATCACATCACCCTCAACGGCTTGGTATTCGTGGTCAATGATTCGACAGTGAATGATGCCCGCCTTCTGAACCCAACGGATATATTCCGTTACCTGTTTGCAGGCCAGGGACCATACACCATACCAGGTGGAGCCGAGGCTTTTGCCTTTGTGCGTACTCCAAGCTCTAGCCATGGTAAATATACTCTGTCCGGAATAAATATTGTATAATCCAAAAATTGTTCTTACAGCTAAGGACTATCCGGACATGGAGTTGGTCTTGGGAGCTGGTTCCCTGAGTGGCGATCGCTTTGGGACTATGCGCAATCTTTTGGGCATAACGGACGAATTCTATGAGACAATGTTCGGTGACTTGCAGAACAGAGAAACCTTTGGACTGGTCCCAGTGCTGCTGCGGCCCAAGAGTCGAGGACGCATCTCCTTGCGCAGTCGGAATCCATTTCACTGGCCTCGTATGGAACCTAACTTTATGGAGCATCCGGACGACATACAAGCCATGATCGAGGGCATTGAAATGGTACGTAGCTTTGTTAAATTCTTAAAAATTCTCGGATAATCATCCCAAACCTTCAGATCATGCAGGTGGCTCGTTCCAAGTCCATGGTCAAGATGGGCACTCATTTCCACGATCGACCCTTTCCCGGGTGTGAGCACTTGACCTTCGCCAGCCAAGAGTACTGGCGCTGTTGCCTGCGTCGCTACGGTTCCAGCCTGCAACATCAGTCAGGCACCTGCAAGATGGGACCCACTGGGGATCCCTCGGCTGTGGTAGATTCCGGCCTCAGGGTTCATGGTATTCGAAAGTTGCGGGTTGTGGATGCCTCAGTAATGCCAAATGTGCCGGCTGGACACACGAATGCTATTGTTATCATGATTGCCGAAAAGGCGGCGGACATGATCAAGAATACGTGGCGCATGAGGACCACATAAAACAACCTCAATGTGGTACCCTCACTTTTTAATTTATTCTCTAGATATATATCGTGATATGATTAAGCTTGCATGTGATAATTAAGTCATTTTTTAGCACGTAAAACCTCTTTATTAGCTTTCAAAATTGTTTATACGCACAGAAGAAAATATTTAAATTAAATAAAAAACGGTTGTATTTTCCACCACCATCTGGTAGATGGCACTGAGTACCAATACGTACTCTTGCGGAGAGTAGAAAAAACAAGAAAATAGCTTTTCGGCTCTGTTAACTTTACAGCAAAGCTGTTCGGGTCTGTTAACTTTGAATAAAAGCTTTTCGGCTCTGATAGCTTGTGCGCGTAAATCAAATTTATGATTTAAAACACAACGGCGAATAGTTTTTAAAAGATCTGTCATTAGCATCTGTGACATACATATGTATATGTAATTTATTTTGTTTAATAGAGAGATACTGCTCGGCCTTCTTTTCGTTGTTGTATTGTAGTAGTACCCAGTGTTCGGGATGACAAATTGATATCGTGACATTACAGGAACTCAATCCTAATTCAAGCTGACTGATATTTCCGTTTTTGTTTAAATATTTTTTCAAAGTAATACAATTTTTCCATAAGCTCTCTCTTCAAAATGTGGGAGCTTCAGATGATAGTGGTGCACATTTTGCTGATCGGTTGTTTTATAAACATATATTTTCAATCGACTATTTTGGAGGAGCTTGAGCCCCAGAAGACACTGCCTGAGTTTGGGCTGAGACCGCCGGCAGATCGATTGGTGGTATTCCTGATCGATGGTCTTCGGGCAGAGTCGTTCTTTGCAAATAGCTGCAGAGAAGTGCCGCACCTCCAGAAACTTTTCTTGAATCAAGGTGTGGTCGGAATTTCGCGAGGCTGCGCACCAACAATGACCCGACCCGGACACATTGCCATCTTCGCTGGCTTCAATGAAGATCCCCAAGCGGCCATTACCAATTTCGAGTGGAATCCGACACGCTTTGACTCCATATTTAATCGTAGTCGCCATGCCATCGGATGGCTCGATAAAACAGTGTCCGATTTCTTCGCGCGGTCCGTTGGTGCGCCAGTGAGATTCGAAACGTACAGATATTCGGATTTCAGTAGAAGATTTAAGACCGATACCTGGGTTTACAACAAGGCCCGTGAGTTTCTTACCAACAACGAGAGCATCAGAGAGTTGCAAAACGCAACAGCGGTGGTATTTTTGGTTTATCTATTGGATATTGATAAGGCTGGCCATGTGTTCACACCACTTCACCGCGAGTACCGGAAGAGGCTTTATTTGACGCAGAAGAGGATTCGGGAGACGTACGATCTCTTTGAGAGTGCATTCAACAACAGTCGCACGGCCTATCTGATGACCTCGGATCATGGCATGTCAGATGTTGGTATGTATTCTTGACGCCATTGACTATCTAAGACTGCTACTGTGTTTGTTTCAGGCCACCATGGCGGGGGATCTGATATGGAAATAGAAATGCCCTTCTTCTTTTGGGGAGCCGGAGTCAAGCACCTGGGACCGCCTGGGTCCCAGCTGAACTTCACTGCCAATGCACATGGACTTCAGATGCCTCTGCAAGAGCTGGAGCAGATCCAGCTGGCGCCGCTGATGTCGGCCTTAATAGGCCTGCCGCCGCCCACTAACAATAGGGCCCCGTTACCGCTGGGCTATCTCAATGTGAGCGAAGAGTACGAGCGGCAGGCGTTGTTCTTGAATGTCCTGCAGTTCATGGCCCAGGCGGAGGTCATGATACGCCGCCATGAGCAAAGCTTCTTCCACAAATGGCTGCCGAAATATAAGCACCTGGACTCGAGGCGAATCGCCAGCCTTCCCTCTGAAGTGAATCGCCTAGTGGCAGCGGGCCACGACAGGAAAGCAGTAAAACTACTCAGGCAAGCGTCCTGGCAGGCCCGAGAGTGCCTGGATTTTTATCAGAGCTACTATAACATTCCGCTACTTGTGGCCTTAGCTGCATCGTATTTTGGCCTGTTCTACTGCCTGACTGTCATGCTGACACGCGAATGCACAGAGAACAAACAGCGGAAGAAGGGACTCGTAACATGGATGACTCTTCTGATGGCCGTACTGGGACTGGTGCTCGGATATGTATTGTTTCTGCAGAGGGTGCCCTGGTACACGGAGTTTTACCTGCTGTTGCCCATAGGCATTTGGACGATGGCACTAGCCGAACGGCCGCTGCATGGTAAATCCATACCTTTTCCGCTTACACTTTTCATCTGGACAGTGATTCCCGCTGGATTGGTTATAACGACATCCTTTACGAGCACCCATGTGGGGCTGCTGTATGCAGCCGTCGTGTGTGGCTACAATCGGCGCGGCTTCCTTCGGCCTACGGGGAAATTCTTTATATGGTTGACAGCCATGCTGTTACCAAGTGCATTTCTAGTTGTCACGCAAAACTTCAGCTTGGAATGGATATTAGATGCTATTGACCTAGACCTCGAGAGCTATGTCCTAGCGTTCAGCATGTTTCTGGCAGTGCTCCTTCCATGGATATTGGGACATAAATTTGTGGAGCACGTTTGGATGATCAATTCAGGAATTCTACTGATGGGAGTCTATGGAACTTACCTCTACGAGAATAACCTCGAAATTAATCTCTTTCTGCGGACTGCTTTCTGGGCTTTCCTTGCCTATGCCTTCGTATCGTTGCCATACAGCAAAGAGAAAACCGCTAGAAAACGATTTCATTTGATTACCTTCAACCTGGTGGCAGTTCATGCACTGCTCTGCGTTTCAACGGGGTCGCTCTTCCTCCAAATGATGATAACCGAGTTTCTGCTTCGGCAGCAAATTCACGACAAGGTTACAAAAAAACCGAAAAATGAGATTCGGGAACCACTAGATCGCCTGAAGCTAAACTATCACTACGCCGTCTTGATTCTGTTTTACTTCTTCGTATCATTCTTTGGATCCGGACACTGGGCATTAGGCTTCGCCTTCAGAGCAACAACTGGACGACTGCTAATATCCAGCTTTACTCCATTTATAATAACCATTCTCATCATAGCCAAGATAATGATTCCATCCATTATTTTCATCTCAGGGATATACACTCTTTCGCCGTATGCCCGTATGAATACACGTGCTATTTTCAACTGTATGTTCTTGATTAGCGATGCCATGGGCTTGTTTTTCTGTTTATATATTCAAAACAGTGGCAACTGGCGCCAAGTTCGCCGATCACTCGATCACGTCCTATTGACAAACCTTGTTGTGATCCTGTTGCTGGCCTCTTCGTGTTTAACCAAGACCTTCCATATGCCAATTAAGCGAGCTAAGCCGGAAAGCATTACGGAAGTAAATGGAGGAGACGTGATTGTCCTTACGTGTGCAGGGTCTGCTGAAGAGAGTAAGGCTGAGGGGGTTTCTTTCGTCTAATGCATCAAAGTTCCTGTTAAAATAAATTACGTTTTATTGGTTTGGTTTTCTTCAATTACTCATCTGATTGTCGGTAAATAAACGCAATTTTGTTAACTTTATTCATTCATATTTTTCTTGTGCATTGTATAGGTACATATGTATATATTATTATTAATATTGAACGCTGTTTAGTATATACCTGCAATTTATTTGTGACGTGGATTCATTCTCCGGACTGTTCATGAGATTACAAATTAAAAAGATTCTTTGAGATGATCCAATGGGACACTTGAAGATGCCACACAGAATCTTGTATTATATTGTATGTCTATATTATATTGAATTGATGGAACTAGCAAGATCTTGGGTATGGAATGCTTACAATTATCCAGGAGAACGAAGGCGGAATAGAAAACCACGGAACGTTTTATGTCGAGCCACACATGGCTTTCTCGTGAAATACATTCCATATATGACATCGTATGAGCGATAGAGCGATACACAGGAGAGTCAGCAGCGGAGATTTCCTCACTGCAGTTGCCTCTGCCTTTGGTCAGTCAAATAGTGCAGAGAGTAGCAGTGGAGCCACTACCACTTCAAAGTGACCACAAAGAAGCGCAGTTCGCTTTGGTCTAACCAGCTCATTAATGTTACCAAGCCCAAAATGAAGAATGATATGGCTGAGAGGGCCAACCAGGCAAGTAATTTCCCGGCACATTCTACTCTCTACCCTCTACTAGCTGGATTGTTTCCAATTTGGCAGCTGTTGCTTGTTGTTGGCTGTTTGTGTTTGCTCTGTGTTCGGGTAGTTTTCGGTTTGTTTTTTGTAGCCGCATGACGCAGGGGAGCCGACACATTTTCCTTTTGGGGCTGGCGCTAGCTTTTGTTTATAAACTAGTTTCGCAAACTTGCCTCAACCATACTACCATTCCTCTCACTCCTTTGTCCAAAAGTTTTGTATTTCGCTGTTTCGCTTGTGTGCTTTTTTTTCATAGGCCGTTTGTTGCTTGCACTCTTTTCCACAGTTTCAGCTTATTTCTCTTTTTGCGGGATTTCAGCGCATTTAAAAGTATTTTTATGTATTCCCTGAATGGTCAGTGGGATTTCCTTTAAGGCGCCATTAATAATACAGGTCGAGTTTCTTAAACTTGTAACATTTCTCTTCGAATTGAAGTTCAACGTCAAAAAGTTGTGCTTTAACTGGGAGCTCTTGTAACTTCCAATTCCACTCACGTTCTGGCCATAGAGGAGAAGTCCTTAAGCCAATTTTAGAATGCCTTGTAATTGAAACATAATTGGAGCTGCAGAACAGAAAAGTAAGAACACTCAGCCATGAACGTGGTTTTCCTTTAGCACGAAAGGAGTGGAGTTAAAGCGATTTAACCTGGTGACATTATTATGTCTTTCTCTGTCCCTTCCTTTGGCCCTTTATGACCATGAACATTAAGACCTTAACCATTGAGACCATTTTTAATAAAGCGATGAAGAAATGTGTGCACTTAACAGTCATTCCACTATTGTGATAGGGTATTTGATGTAATTTTTCGCTTCAAACTTTGTGCTCCAACAGAAGAAACGAATTTGGAAAAGTAAATAATAAAATAACTGCAGGAAAAATAAAATAACACAACATGAAAAAATTACACAAATGTAAGAAAAATAAAAAAAAAATCGTCCACGCTGGAATAACGCAAGATTAGTATTATAAACACCGAATCTCTTTCCTGCTTGCTTTTTTTACTTTTTTTTTACATCCTTACATCATAGAAAAAAAAATTATTTTTCTTATTTCCTTTCCATATAAATTCAAGACTATACCCACAGAAAATCGTTTTTGCTAATTTGGTTTTTGTTTACTTTTATTTTGGAGGATCTTTCGGGACAGAGCTGAGGACACCTAAGTAAATATAATTTAAGAAAATTATAACTGCTGGAGATGTGTATTGAGCAAACATTTTTTATAATTTGCGTTTGTGACCGTGTAAAATATAAAAAGCTGTTGGTAAATTTTCCAGGAATATAAATTTAAGACATTAAACACTGTTCGCCTTCAATTTCTTAATTTTAAACCTCCTTGAAAGCAATATCAATATCCCAGACAGTAACATTTGACGCCTGAGATACAGCATCAAGAATATATTCAAGCACTGCTTTAAAAGTCGAATGTGCAACGACTTGTGCAGTACTGAAGATGCCTTCACCTTCTATAAATATATTTCCCTCCATTCCTTTCCTTTTCTTTGTGTGGAGACCTTTAACAAAGAATAGTTGCATAGAGCCACCATTCGTTCAGAATGAGTTGGGCCTCAACTGCAGTTTCCTTAACTGAAAAAGGCTACTGTGAAGAAAACATTTCCACATTGAATGGTCACAGTGGTCCGCAAAGTTTTCACATAAAATGAAGAGATGAAAACTAAGAATATTCTCTTGTAAGCCTTGCGGCGTGTCTGGCGAAAATTCGAAAAAAATTCACTTTTTAAATGGAGACAAATGGTGGAAAATAGCAAGAAAAATGTACTTTTGTACTTAGCAAATGGCTAAGCGGATAGAAACAGAGAGAGAAAGAGAATTGAAAATCTCGTTGAGGGTTTTTTGTGGTTCTCTCAATCTCGGTCAGAGTTGCAGCAACCGCAACCTTTCTTCACTTCATTGGACTTGGCCCAAGTCTCACAACATTCTGCCTGTTAAATCTAATAAATATAGACAGATGTGGCATAAATTAGAATTCGCTGCGAAGCACAGTAAATGACTTTCTCCTTATTTAGTTTTAGCTTGACTAACTTTTCTGATATTCAGTGTATTCGATTTTCATTTTAAAGAGTCATTTGTGTTCGCTTGCCATCAGAGTTTGCTAATTTGTCGATAAATTTTTAGATGAATTTGTTTTCCCTTTTTTTTCATAATTCCATAATTTGTTCACTGTTTGCTTTTAATAAAAAACCTGGAAGAATAATAAATGAAATTTCTTTAACTTTCAGACCGGGAAATAACCAAGTCCCAAAGCTACGAGTCTATGTCTGTTCTCATATACATGAAAGCATATTCCGGTGAGAGACGCATTAATTAACTCAACTTAACACGTACATATGTACATTCCCTGCGGTGGGAATCCCCCTTGAGGTGGGTCCATAAAATGGATTGCCTTGCTGGTCAAACTGGGTCTCTTGTTCGTTTTTGTGGCATACCAAATTTTCATTTTTTAAAGTCTAGAGTAGAAACCCCACCAATTTATTTGATGGGGTAATCAGTCCAGAGAGAACCCATTTAGCTCAACTTTAAAAAGGTTCTTTAAAATATTTAAAAATATAATTTGATTAATTACAAAGAAAGTTCTCGAGCCATCACAGTCCATTTTACCACCACTGCCATTGGAATATTTGATAATTATCTGAAATCCTCAGAAGAAGTCAAGACAGTGAAAGCGAGTACAAAGCAGCACCGCAATATTAAAGCCGATTCATTAATTAAGTAGGACAAAAGCAAGGAGAACCAATGCAAGCCTTAGAGGGGGCGATATAGATTGTGGCTAAATTACCGCTACCGTCTCTTCAGACTTATGTGCTATTTTTACCGCTGAAGATTGAAAGGAGAACACTGTCATTACATATATTCAATGAGCTACACAGCTCAGAAGGACAAGGATGCAGTTAAACTTCAAGTAGCGACAGAAATCTCCTCAGCTGGATTCACCTGGGATAAGGGGTCTCGAATTCCTTCTCTGGCACTATTATGTTGAGTCATTCAAATCAAATTGCCATTGGCTCGAATTCTGTTGAACATGCAGATAGAAGGAAAAACTATCTTTATTCTGAGAAACTAAACGGTGAATGTAAATGTAGCCACAAGGCAGATCCAAATTTAATCATATTGTATCCGATACTCTCCTTTCAATGCCCAAAGAAGTCATCTATGTACCTCGGAAAAAATCAATTTACATACCCCATAAGATTAAGAAGTTAATGGTCTGCAATTTGTCAAGTTCAGATTTGGGCCCTACTTTCAGTTAATTTTTCATTTTTAATTTCGCTGGAAGTCAAGTTTGTCCACGAATACGCGATTAGGGAAACTTTCTGAAAAAACTTGAGATTGTTAAACGACATTAATACGATTAATATCTTAGCAACATCTACATACATATATAATACTTTGCAAGCAGCTTTTGGCTTTGTCCTTTGTCCTGGCTTGCTCCTGAAGTTTGGGAATCAGCAGACGCTTTGATGGTCGTTATGCGAGGACAATGCTGATATGACTTCTTGCAGTATACCAGAAACAGTGGCATACTCTTTTTCGACACCTAATTACATTAAGTGAATTATTTTAAGAGATTTATTTAAAGAACAGCTCACACCAAAGAGCCATCGACACAAGCTTTTTTTGAAAGCTAACTTAATATAAATATTTCAAAATGAAAGGGAAATAAATCCTTCGGGTACGTATTGTCACCAGCCTTCAAGGCTTTCCACTTTTTGGCTCACTCAAAAATATGTGCAAAAGGGTCTGCTAATGGCGGAAGCGAAGCTTATCCCATAAATCAAATTTAATAAATATTCAAAATCTCTTGCATATAACTTAATTGTTGTTGAAGTGCGCTAAGCCAGCGATTCTCATGAGGCTTACACTGTCTTCTTCTATATAAATCGAGGTTTTAATAAAGTAGTCAAAGCCTTCGAAGCTTTTATTGGAGTTATTTATGAACTCATTTATTCTTTTGTTAAATTATATTTGAATTCCTTGTGTAATTTTAGAGATTTTTAATGTTTTCCACAACTGAGGGAATTAATAGTTGAACACTAACTATTAAGGCACGTGTGCCTTGACTGAAAAGTTCCGAAAATCACGAATCACAGAGTGGTCCGTGCATTACTTTGTCTAGAGAGCTTTGCTAATTAATTTTACATTTAAATCACACGTATACAAATTGTTCATGTTTAAATACAGCAGTTTGAGCAAACAATCAGTTGAACAAAAGCCAATGACAATTTGCATGACGATTTCGCCGTCCCGTCCAACTCTTTGCACAGGAAACAATCAATTTCGCGATGTGCGTAGAGGAAGGGCTCCAATTGACTACGCTTAGT